AGTGAGGGAGGAAAGGGAGGAAAGGGAAACCTGGCAACGGACGCTGGATCGCGTTTACGTGCCTTGAATTTCCTTCAGCCGGAGAGACGATGTGAACGCAACTGTCCAAATGGATCAGGGACGGTTTCCCAGCTTCTATCTGGAGACGTGTTGGCTGTGGCCCTATGAGGCACCTTTCATAATTCGAGCTAAACGCGCAGCAACTTTATGTTTAGTCACTCGAATATTCGCTGCTTGATACGCTCCGTCAAGCTCCGGCATGGGATACGGTTGCAGCTGCGTGAGAAGGAGGTGGAAGTTTGTCGCGGACTCGTAGTTGTGAGGAGAAAAATTGCCAATGGCACGACTGTGGGCGTTTGATAAGGATAAGGATAACGAAATCTAGGCTCACCTGGCCCTGATGTCACTCAAACGGGAATCAATTCCCAATAGTAGCATAGCGTCAGAGCCGCTGATGGGCCTCCTTAAACCCTCTCTGTGCGTCGAAATGAATAGTGAAGCAGAGATAAGCCACAAGGTGTCACGAACATGATATTCTGGGAACGCGGATGTTGACGCCAGACGAGGCGCGCCAAGGCCAGACGGTATTTGGGAATCTTGCGTACCTGCGTACCTGTGTACCCCGAGACTAAAGAAATCACAGGGACAGCCTATCGTGGGGATCCGCCATGCTCAGTGACCTGATCTGGGTATGGGCGGCGTGCCAACCACGTCCCAGGAACAGGGTGCTAAGACTACTAGGGCGGAAGTTGACATCGAACTTGACGTCCAGTTAGTCTGCTGGGAAACTGAGAAGAACTAAGTAAATTGGCTCACAAAAACAGTCGCATCGTACAATTGTCCCATTACTCTCCCTAGGCTGGCGCGTGCCAAGAGTCGGGATGGAGATGTTGACAAGGAGGAAACAAAGTTGGATTACATAATTGCAAAGTTGGGCTTGGCTTCAGCCAATGCGGTTCGCCACGCACACAACCGGAATCCTCCAATTCCACAAGCACCAAACCAGCCAAGCCCAAAGGAAAGCGAGCATGGAGAAGCACATCGACATACAGCCTGTCGAGGAAGGGCTAGAGAGCTTTCGGGTCGTCGGGTGAGTGTGATGCCCCAAGTCTGTCGCATTCTGCGCCAACGCTGATGCTCTGCGTCGCGCAGCTCGATATTACAAAAATAGACGGACGACCAACTGTTCGTAGTCGCTAACAAGGGCGACGAGCAAGGTGCGTTCGTCCATTTTCGAATGCATACCCAACTTAACCATTAACATTGACCGTTGACTCTAGTTTGACAATCTATACCGGGTATTCGAAAATGCAACTGACGTCCATTAAAATTATCTCCCAACGCTCCGCCGTGCCTGCTGTCGTATCACGCGCAACAGCACCGTCTGAAACGAAAATGTCGCACGCAGAGAATTGGGTGCAGGGAGTGCGCCCATCGACGTCTCATATACCGTCCAACACAATGGGGGACACGATCTGTGAGACGTACCGGCTGTCCAAGACATCCTTCTAGATGGGTTGGAGACGATTCAAAGGCGCCATCAAGGTGAGGTGCTCGTGTCTCTACATCGTGAACGTGGCTCATGCATGTAATGACAGAAACCCGATCTTGGCCACCCGCGAGACGCGATCGACGTCCCAGCAGTGTCTGTGCCCCATCATGGCGCCTTTTACAATCCACCGGTACATGCGCACGAAGAACTCGTCATGGAAGCCTACAAAATTGAGCAACGGAAACAAGAAGAGGCTGATCGTCTTCTGGAAGCTCAAAATAAAATCGGGCAGCTCTCGCGTTTGCTGCAGACGACGTTGCGGAGGGTGTCCCTGCTGGGATGGTCGTTGACGAGATCAAGGACGACGGGGGCTGCCAGTACGCCCGCTGTAGTACCGAAAAGCCTACCTGCGAGGCAAACCAAACAACAGCGTGCTCGCATGGCAAAGCAGAAGGCAGAGGTTCGCTTTGGAGGTGATCTCTGGTTGTGACAGTGTCTAACAGAACAGTGATCGCAGAAACATGTGTTGGCCGAGAAAGCCTCCTGAACTCGATCCATCACCTCTCCAAGCTCGCGGATGCCCACCAACAAGCTCGGGTGGCATGACAGCTTGCACTTTAGCTGAAGGTACAAAAAGGCCTCGCTGGTCAACGACTCAGAAAGCACCGAGTCCCTGAAAACGATATCGAGGTGCAGGTGAGGGAGGATTTGAGCGAGAGTCTCCGGAATATCAAGGTACGTGACTCGTGATTATGAATTGGGTTTTGTTGACACTGCGTTTAATAGCCTGAAGGAAATTTATCTCGCGATCGTAACATCCTCCCTCGCCGTCTGATCTGATGCTGAGACACGATTTTGTAGGCCAACAAAGTGCAACGAGCAGCGAAAGGAGTACGAGAAGCATGCATGGAATCATTTCGAGTAGTGACACCAACTGCCCAAGACATCCTTTGCATAAAAGATGCCATACATTTTCGGCTAAGCCTTGTTTTTGTATCCATGAACAAACAAGACTCTGGCGGCGAGAGATAAAAGCCTAGGAATATATCTATCATAGGCCAGGTTTTTTTTAATACATCCACTCTCATCGGGTTCTCCGTCGAGGCGGGAAACCAAGCATGACGAGGGTGACTGCCGAAGCAAACCGAGGGCAAACCCAGACTTGTCTAGCTTCTACTAATGATGATTGATCTCCCGTTCTTCCCGACGTCTTCGAACACGATCGCGGTCCCACAAGCAGCGCCCCGTTCCGATAGTAACGATACGCTGGACCGAGTTTTGTTCTCAGCTTTACGGCTTCCTTGGACGTACTAGGATAATAATCCTGAAGCAGAGGAATTGGAGCGACCACCAGAACATATTGGACTGGATGATGGGCACATATAGTGACCGTCAGCCTTGTGTAGGGAGAATGCCGGAGGCAGAAAGTACACAGGATATTATGGGAACCCACGTGTTGATGGAGAACAAGGCCAGGTGGGCAAACGGCATTTGGACCTCCGTACCCCGAGCCCTTAGGGAAGTCAGTATCATGGAGATCCCCCATAGTCAGTGGCTTGATCTGGGGATGGGCGGCGTGAAGCGCTCCCCAGGAAGAGAAGAGAGACGCTAGTGGGAGGATCATTAGGGGGACGGTCTGGATTCTCAAGCTACCCAAATTATCTGAACCGTCCGCGTTCGGCCACAACATTGGCGACTGTCACAAGTGAAGCATGATTAGGTAAGCCGTCACCCATTCATGCCAGGCAAAGGTTGCGCTTGGCTTGAGCTGATATGAGTCCCACCACTTCCAATTTCTCATCACAGGCAACCAAAAAACCAGCCAAGTCCAAGCTTGGTGCCCCTTCCCAGCTTTCACAGTCGAGTCGCAAAGGAAAGCGAGCATGGAGAAAGAACATCGACATCCAGCCTGTCGAGGAAGGGCTCGAGAGCCTTCGAGCGGAGGAACGGGTCGTCGGGTGAGTGAGATTCCGAACGGTCGTTACATTCCTCGCTAACACCATCGCTCAGCTCGATATTACAAAAACAGACGGACGACCAGCTGTTCGTAGTCGATACCAAGGGCGACGAGCATGGTGCGTTTGCGTTCATCCAACTCAAGGGTCAACGTTGACCGTTGCCTCCAGTTCGAAAATCGATCCCTCGGCATTCGAAAATGCAGCTTATGTCCACTAAAATTCTCTCCCAGCGCTCCGCCGTGCCTGCAGTCGTATCGCGTTCAACAAAACCCTCTGGACCAAAAATATCGCGCGCAGACAAGGAGAGACTGTTGCGGATTGCCAAGCGTCCCCGAAAAGGGCCGCTCAACGCCATCATGGACCCGGCCGAGTTCGGTGCGGGGAGTGCGCCCATCGACGTCTCGTATGCCGTCCAACAAAGTGGGGGACACAATTTGTGGGACGTACCGGTTGTCGAGGACATCGTGCCGGACGGGTTAGAGGCGGTTCAAAAGCGCACTGTCAAGGTGGGTGTTGGTATCTCCGCCTCACGAACGTGACTTATTTATATGACACAGAAGCCTGACCTTGGCCACCCGCGAGATGTGATCGACGTCCCTGCAGTGTCTGTTCCCCATCCTGGCGCCTCTTATAATCCACCGGTGCAGGCGCACGAAGAACTTCTCATGGAAGCGTACAAAGCCGAGCGACGGAGACAACAAGAGGCTGATCGTCTTCTGGAAGCTCGAAAGAAAATCGAGCAAGCGCTCACGTTTGATGCGAGCGACGCTGCGGAGGGTGTCGCTGTTGGGATGGTCATTGACGAGATCAAGGACGACGGAGAGACGATCACCAATACCCCCACCGTAGTACCGAAAAGACTTCCTGCGAAGAAAACGAAACAACAGCGCGCTCGCATGGCGAAGCAGAAGGCAGAGGTTCGCCTTGGACGATCTTTGATTGTTGATCGTGTCTAACGGAATGATGATCGCAGAAACATACACTGGCCGAGAAAGCCTTGCGAAAACGTCTCCTGAATTCGATCCATCAGGCCAAGACCCTCCGTTCCGACCTCTCCAAGCTCGCGGATGCCCATCAACAAGCTCGGCTAGCACGACAGCTTGCACTTCGGCTGAAGCTACGAAAAGGCCTCGCTGGCCAACGGCTCGGGAAGCACCGAGTTCCTGAAAACGATATCGAGGTGCAGGTCGGGGAGGATCTGAGCGAGAGCCTAAGGAATCTCAAGGTCTGTTACTGGTGATTATGAATGGCTTGTTGTTCACGCTGCATTCGATTAGCCCGAAGGAAACCTGTTCCGCGATCGATTTGTGAGCCTCCAGCAACGCGCACTGATCGAGCCACGCGCTCCTGTACTGTAAGAATACCTTCTCTCGTCTTGTGAGCTCACGCTAAGACACGATTTTTAGGCCAACGGAGCGCAAAGCGAAGCTAAAGGAGTACGAGAAGCATGCATGGAAACGTTTCGAGTAGTTACTACGCATCGTTTTTATAAAAATTTCAATCGATTTTTAGCGGAGCCTTCTTCCAAGGCAAGGCGAGATAAAAAGCGCTGGACACTGTGGGAGTTGAACCCACGACCTCACGCAGTCTTTATTGCGAAGCGTGCGCGCTACCAACTGTGCCAAGTGCCCGTTGGTGGAGCAGCTCATGGGCGCGCCAAGACTATTTTAGACGCCCGACACTCCTAACCAGCACCGCGCGTGCTTTGGCTCGTCGCCAGCATGATGGATGTGGACCCGATCGACGCTGACATTGCGAACCAATACACAACACAACAACAACCGCGACGACGACAAGCCCGCCCCGTCGACGACGCCCATCCCTTTGACCTCGACGCCTACATCGCCAGCTACACCGGCAAGTACAACCACGACCACATTGAATGGTACTGACAACCGTACACAGGTCGGACAGCCGTAGACAGACTCCTCGTCATCACCGCCTCATGCCCCGCCATCGCCCCACAAGCCCTCAAACTCGCGTTCAACCACATTTATCGTCTGCGTGATCCGTCGCTCGTCCAGGCAGCCCTTGCGGCGTACGCGAGCGCCATAGCGCTGCCCGAGGGCCAGGGATTGCCATCTGCGGGGGACGTCGTGGTCGTGGATACCGCATGGGTCGAGGAGGTGACCAAGAAGAACGTTGCTGAGCGGACGAAATTAGAGGTCGAGCTCAAGACGTACACGAATAACATGATCAAGGAGAGCATACGGGTGCGTGGGGTGTCCTTGTGCGTGCGATGAGAGCGGTCGTTGACGATGTGGCGTAGATGGCGCATAGAGACCTTGGAGAACACCATCGTGCCACGGGCGATTTCGCCTCGGCGTTGAAACACTTGACGAAATCGCGTGAATTTTGTTCGACGAGTCAGCATGTCCTAGACATGTGTCTGTCCGTACTCGAAGTATGTTGCGAATCATCTAGGCTTTGCTCAGTGGAGATGATCGTTTACGTTTGCAGCTCGTGATCGAACAACGCAACTATTCGCACATTTCGTCGTATATTTTCAAGGCGGATGCGGCCTTGGAAAGTACAGCTGCAACGACTACTGGTGCAGAGAGCGGGGCGGCTTCTGCCTCGACCGCCAAGAAACTGAGCCCAGAGCGTGAGCAGGTGCAATCAAAGCTCGATTTCGCCATGGCTCTGTCACATCTCGGGCAGGGTAATTACGAAAAGGCGGCCTCGTTGTTCTTGCGACTTGGCCCTCCAGAACAACTCGGCGATTGGGTCGGCAAGGTGGGGGCTGCAGCTTGGCAGTGTGTATACGACTAATTTTTTCGACCACACAGCTCGTTGCTCCAGGTGATATTGCCATCTACGGTACGCTCTGTGCGCTGGCAAGCCTGTCTCGCTCTGCCATCAAGTCGCAGCTCCTCCGAAACCCCGTTTTCTCCGCATACATTGAGCAAGAACCATACGTTCGTGACGTCATACAAGCATACATGTCCAGTGACTTCAAAACGACGCTCGAGATTCTCTCTAGATATTCCGTGAGGTCTTTCCTTGTTTATTTTGTCTACGCTAACATTTGGAACAGACAAGACATTATATAGACATACACCTTGGAGTCCACGTGAACGATGTCACTCAACATTTGAGGCAGACAGCCATCGTACTCTACTTTCAGCCATTCGAGACGATTCGCTTTGACCGCATGGCTTCTGCGTTTGGTTGGAGTATCGAAGAAGTTGAACGGGAAGTCGTCGCACTCATCCAGAGTGGTCAGATTCAGGGACGCGTGGATAGCCAGAACAAGGTAATGATTCATCGATCACGGCGCGAAGCCAACTTGCATGATTTATCCACCTCCTTAGATCCTCAAGGCAAAGAAGACGGACCATCGCGCGGAACTGTTTGAGCAGGCTATGAAGACGGCGTTGGATATCCAGAGCACGAATCGCAAGCTGCTTTTGCGCATGCGACTGTGAGTTTATGCATGGTTTATTGTCTAACCGCCCGGCTCATTTTCGTGCAGACAACAAGCAGATTTAGTCGTCAGGAGCCCCAAGTCGAGACGGGATCAAACCCAGAGCCTGCTCGACTCTCCCATGGTAGCCATGGGAGATCTCAGCTGAGGTCCCCCCACCGTGTCATGTAGCAAAACGCAGAGATGCAAACAAGGACGGTCATGAGCGTGTGCGAGCAGTGAGATACAACAAATGTATAAATTACAGCTACGAGTCCCCGAAATACTCGTTCACCAGTGCCTCCTTTTGTAGTTTGAGTAGGACGCCTTCCATTTCCTCCCCTGTCGGCATTTTCGGGGGTAGGAGGTCCTCTGTTGAGAGGAACGAGATGTGCGATGCTGCTAGCTGGGCGTGGGCTTGCATCGAGTTTGGTGCAGGGGTTGGTATGACCTGTTGTTGGGCCGCGTCTGTCTTTGAGCGTTTGGCGTTTTCGGGTGGAGGGTCGTCCTTGTTTGCCATGCTGGCATCACCATCACCATCGGCTTTCCGCTTTGATGACGAGGCATTGGCAGGCGGTGAATCCGACGATGTAACGGTCGACGACTGTCTGGGACCACGAGGAAGGTCGGGTATCGGCTCGTCCGCCGGGATCTCAAGCACCTCGCGAATTCGTAGTTGCGCCTCCCGCCACTCCGCCTCCTCCGCCTCTTCCTCATACTCGATCAACTCATTCCCCAACTGTGTCTCGTCCAAATCACCAAAGTATGCCGGCCCCTGGTGCATAAACTTTTTGTAATACGCCAAGGCTTGGTTTTCTTCCTCTTCCTCTTTTTTGCGGCTCTGGAAGAGCTCACGCACGCCAGGGAGTTCCTTGGCGCGTCCAAAGTACCTAGACGATCACGCGCGGATGAGTGGGTATGAGATGGGAAGAGGGAGAGGGGACACACTTGTAGCCTTTGGTACCAGGCACTTCTTTGCCGTCGTCGTCAAGCATGGCGACATTCCGTCTGTAGTTCGCACCTCCAAGCCCGATGATTTGGTTCTCCCAATGCCGTTTTTCGCGCAACAGCTTGTTGATCTCGTCGTTTATATCGCGCACCTCATAGTCGGTCAGACCAGCTAGGCGACCCGTGAGCGAGATGCGCGGGGAGGAAGAGGGAACGACATACAATCCTGGATCTTGGACACCTTTCGACTGATCTCGCGGAGAATTTCACCTCGCCAGCGTTCGCATTCCCGCAGGCTTTTACATGCGCTGGCCATCTTGGGTCGTTTGTCCCCCCGGGTACCGAGGCCCAGCTCTGCCGCTTGGGCCTCGCGGAAGCGGTAGAGCATGGACTGCGCCTTTTCTTCATTACGCGCCTGTTAAAACGTGGCGTGAGTAGGGCGTGGATGCCTGGAAGGGACACGGGGGCGTACCATGATGGAGGTATACGAGCAAGTCTTACTTATGTTTGTTTGGCAAGAGCTTTAGAAATAAACAAACCCACGTGGCGCGTATCATCCGACTATCAGTGAACGCTTCGATTGGATTGTACCATGTCGCCTCAATTCTCGGAAGAAGACATTGTTGAAGAACAAGTTCACTTTTCAAACGTCGTCGCTACATTCCAGCAATATGCCCAGCATTCGGTACGTCCTTCAGTACTCGCTACAGGGACGCACTGACCCCATCCCACACAGCTGACCGCCAACAATCGTCGCCGAAAAGACCTGTATACGCTTCCCAACGCAGACAAGGCGTTGATCGATGCGATAGACTACCGACGCAAACTCCAAGCAATCGACGCTGCCATCCTCGCCAATGCCGACTTTTTGCATAAAATCGTTGCGAATCCAGAGATATTCGGACATGGGATTGCGGGTGAAAATGGCGGGGTGCAGGACGTGACGTTGGCGGATGCGGAGCGACGGCCATCGCGAGGTAGGACGATTTGGAGTGTGCATTTTCTTCGCCCATGGATGGCCTCTTTTCAGGTGACGATACGCCCCACGCGCAAATCCACTCGCACGACTACCCCGACGATACGAAACCGACGGATCCCAGGAAAAAGGGTCAGGCTCGGTACAAGCCCACCGACTTTGACATGGACAAGTTGAGGAGCACGCTCAAGCAATTCGTTCGCGATTGGAGTGAAGACGTGCGTGTTTCCGTGAATCCGACGTGTCTCCGCACTCCCTCATGCATTCGTTAGCAGGGGAAAGCGGAGCGTGACTTGTGCTACGAGCCGATTAAAAACGCCCTCGAGGACTATTTCGAGGGTCGAGACAGGTGACATCAGATCTGCGGGTGGGACTTGAACTGGTTGTTGACTTGCAGACTTTAGGCAAACGATCCGGGTCCTCGTTCCCGGAGCAGGTCTGGGGAGACTGGCGTACGACGTCGCGAAGCTTGGTTAGACACATCCACTATCCACGCTCGATGCACGACACTGACACCAAACGCTAGGTTTCGCGTGCCAAGGAAATGAATTCTCTCATTACATGCTCCTCTCCTCGTACCTCATCCTCAACAAGTACGCTTCCAAGCTTGCTACAATCGACGCCCGCCTAACCGATGACCAAGGACCGAGTCAATCGGGGAACACACCATATACCTGCCGTCCGATTTACCTCCCGGATCCGACTTTTCTTAGCCGGTGCGCTGCCGCCGCGACAGGCGACTTTGAGGAGATGTATGGCGCCGAAGACACGGACGAGAAAGAACCGCACGCCGGACAATGGAACGCCGTGCTGACCTGTTTCTTCATCGACGCCGTAAGCCTTGCCTCGCGCCCTCCAATCCACACTACTCCACTCACCCTTTGATCTGCGCCCAGACCAAAAACATCGTCAACTACCTTCGCGTTATCCATCGTATCCTGGCACTGGGTGGCGTTTTGATCAATCTCGGTGCACCATCTATGTAGCTGCATCCCTCCGGTAACTTCTATATGTTCCGCCAGGGGTGGCTGATTACGCTACACTCTATTCCGTCGATCACACGCTTCCGATGCGCATTTATGTCAGTTTGGTACGACTTCCACCCACCAACGAGTCTGTGCTGATAGATGAAGACACATTTTTGCAAGATATTATTCTGGTGAGTATGAGAGAGCTGCAGTTTCATGAGCTGAGCTGACGTGAGTTGGTGAGATCTGGCGTCTTTACATTGTTTTCAACCGTGATTGGAGGATTTCCATATTCTTTGTAAGGAACATTTGGCAGAATGTTTCCACCTAACT